CAGTACTCCCACCTCAGCCTCCTGAGTAGCTGGGACTACAGGCACATGCCACCATGCCGAATTTTTAAAATTTTTTTTGTAGAGATGAGGTCTTACTAAGTTGCCCAGGCTGGTCTTGAACTCCCAGGCTCAAGCAGTCCTCCCACCTTGGCCTCCCAAAATGCTGGGATTATGCACCCAGCCTGAATTTCTACCATTCTAAGCATCTACAGTCATCTACAAATTGTCACTTTTCACCCACCCTCTGTCATATTTGAGCTGATACATCTAAAGCTCCTGTTCCCACCAAGGAAATCTGAATTTCAGACTAGTAGGGCTAAATTACTTTTTACTTCAAAAAGCAAGTGTTTCACAGTGGCATAAAATGCAGCCCCAGGTCACCAGCGACTTGGCACGTGGTAACAGAGACATATTTACAGCATGCTCAGATCAGGCAAGGCAGAGAATAAAGATGTCCCTCCAGTAGACAACAAGCCCACATGCCAAAAAAATCCCTCAAAGGATAACTTTTGTATCCTTTTTTTGAGAACACAATCACAGCTCACCACAACCTCAAATTCCTGGGCTCAAACAAGCCTCCCGCCCCAGCCTCCTGAGTAGCCAGGACTACAGGCACCACCATGCCTGGCTAATTTTCAAATTTTCTGTAGAGATGGGGTCTTGCTGCGTTGCTCAGGCTTGTCTCAAACTCCTGGCCTCAAGCAAATTTCCTTACAGGCATGAGCCATTGCGCTCAGTCTCCACCTTCATTTTCCACCTCTGCTGTAGAATGTGCTGTCTGGCCCCACACCTTGTATCTTTGGGTAAGTCTGTCTCCCCCTCTAGACGGGGGCCCTGCTGCCACCATGGCAGGTCCCCAATGAATGTCTGAATAATTCAGGGATGAATGAATGATGCAGATGGAAGGTCAGACATGACGCCCACATCTGCCAAGCTCTCTGGTTTACAAAATGCTTCCATGAAGGATTGTCTGACCCTGAGTTTATGGTGCAGACACAAAGGCACAGAGACTTAAGTGATTCCCAAATCCACCTGGGGAGTAAATGGCAGTGGAGGGACCTGAGTTCTGGGTTTTGCCCAGAGAAAACAGGGTGCTCGTTATTTCATTTTCCAATGTGGAGGCTTCTGCAATACCTAAAAGGCATATTACAATTCTCCCTCCAGAAAATGTCACTCCATGTCAGACCTCATGTCTCCTGATGGCTGGGAAGATGACATCACTGTCAGCTACCTGGATGACCCGGGCAGCATGGTCTGCACTGAAGCATGAGCTCCTTGCAGGTAGGGACCTTCTTAAAGGCCCTGCATCCCCACGGGTGCCTGGAAGCAGGAGGATGTCACAGCAACACATCCATACAGCCCAGCCCTGACACGTGACCACAGCCATCAGCAAGGCACTGTCTGCAACACGCATTGGCCCAAACCCCCAGTCCCTGGTGCCGACAGCAAGTGTCATGGTCCTGAATGTCTCAGGAGTCTCTCGGCTCCAAGTTAGCCCCTCGCTGGCTGCCCACTGCCCCACGGGACCCCCTCCTTTCAGGCCTGTGAAGGAACCCCCCCCAACCAGGGCAAACAAGAGCAATGAGTGGTAGGTGGGACCCTGGGCAGTTAGAGCAGGGCTTGTTCCCCAGGGCCACACCAGCATAGAGTGTGGAGGCCACACCAGCATGTAGACTACACTGGTGTAAAGGCCACACTGGCACAGAAGCTACACTGGTGTCAAGGACACCCCAGTGCAGAGGCCACACTGGCATGGCACTCTGAGCCCAGAAATGTGAACAGGACAAGACGGACGTTTTTCCTTTCTCCCCAAGGTGAGCACAACCCAGCAAACTTCAAGGAGGGCCCAGGAAGAGGTGGGAATAGAGGTCAGGGCACAGAGAGGGTGGCGACGCCATGTCACACAAGCACTTGGGTCAATCCACCCCCTCCCTGGACTTGGTGCTGGGACATAGGAAAGCCCAGCTCTTTCCACATATGCAGGCCTCCAGTGACACCTGGTATGGGGCCCACATGTGGCCACATGCTCTCGTGTCCTTCAGAAAGCAGCCACTTGGAGTGTGCCGGGGTCTATGTCACCACACAGCATTCTCATTGACTCCTACTTGGAGGCCAAGACTCCATCCTCAGAAAAGCATGAGGAGGCTTCACAAGCAGGTAAGGCACAAGACGCTGTCACAAACCTTGCCTGAGTGCCCCTGTCCTGCTGATCCAAGTGTCCCCACAGCCCCTCTGCAGGTGTCTGTGATTGAGCTCTTGAAGCCAGCGAACCTGTGTGGCACCAGCGCCCAACAGCCAGGGTCCCAGAGGAGCAAGCTCGCAGCCCTAGTGGCCAAAGGTTGCTGCTGCTGCCATGGTCAGATACTCGCCCAGACACGCCTGGCAAAATCTCCTAGGCCAGCCAGGAGCTCCGTAAGCCCTGGGGCCCAGCCCTCCCGTGTTTAGAAGCACCCAGTGCCCCACCCCCTACCATACAGTGGCTGACTGAGTTAAACATACCTCTCTCCACTATCCAAAGCTCTCACTCTAAATGGGGCTGGAGGGAGCAGGGGACTTAACCAGCAACGCTCACCCCGCAGGGCTAGTGGACTTGGGGTCAACAGCCGGAGGCCGGCCAGCCACCTACCCATACCCAGACATGGCCTTTAGTTTTCTGCCCACGATCAAAACAGCAGCAACTGTTGCCAAGGGAGACAAGGTAAACCAGAGGCGTGGACACAAAACCCAGGGCTGGACATCCATCTCGCCAGATCCACCCATGGCCAGGCTTCCCTAACTGAGGGAGGGTGAGAAGACTTGCTTTGGCATCGGGTCCTCTTCAGGAAGTGGGAGCATCCTACCCTGGTCCTGACAAAGTCATGAGGAAGCCTGGGTTTGAATGCTCAGAGACATCCAGAGTGGCCACAGGTCTCAGGCCCCCGAAGTCTCGAGACAACTTTGGAAGGGAAGAGGCACGCGAAAGCCAAGGCTCCATGGACGGCAAACTCCCACTCAGGAAAGCCAGGCCCATTCCTGCCAGCCAACCTGGAGATTTCAGGGCAACCTTCCCAGTTCGCCTGGACCAACAGCTTAGCGTTCAGCAAAAGATGCATTCAGGACCTTCAAGTGGGGGGCGGGGGAGGCTGGTCAGAGCCCACGCCCGCCATGCCTGGCCTTCTCTCTACTCTGCTCCCAGTTTTCTTCAACTTCAAAACTGAGCTCATCTGGCACCTGGCAGGCGTGTCTCCTCTGGCTGCTTGCTTCTGCCCCTCGGAGACCATCATGAAACCACGTGAAAGTGCTTTGTGAACTCTGAAACACTTTGCACAGCTGCGTGCTTTATCACTGAGCATTTTTATTTTTTTCTGTTTCAGTGCACGAAGCACTGGTCCTTGAGGCACCCAGCAGATAAGGAGGAGGTAGACTTTGCAAACCCTCCCCAGGCAGTGAAGTATGACCCTCTCCCACCCCATCAGGGAAATAAAGAAGAATGAAGACCCAGAACGGACCCAGGCCCCGGGGGCCTCTGACCATGGCAGCACAGGCAGCCTTTGAAGTCAACTCTGGCTTGCACACCACCTCCCACCCCCTATGCACTGCATCCACCCCCATTTTTAGAAGCTCTTCTTAAAGCCTGCACACCCACCTTGGTAACATTTATTCCCAGGGGAGGCCTGCCTGGCCCCCTAGGCAGATGTTGCTTTGTGGGCCTGATCCCCCAGCAGCCCTCAAACAGCTGCCAAGCAGGTGGCCAGGTTGCAGGCCACCCCAGCCCAGGCCAGAGGGTCTCTCTCATTCCTCTGCAGCCTGGGACTCCAAACCATCCCCAAACACATACCCAAACTCCCTCTCCTGGTTCAGACTCAGACTTCAAAGGGGACTGAGAGGCAGAGACAGGAGGCCAAGGTTCCCACACCCGACCCCCACCCAGCACAGCTGAGCCAAGGAAGGCCCCGGGCTGAGGAGAAGCCGCTGTCCCTCTGCCAGCCATCTGTGAACTACTGCGGGCCCAGCACGGGAGGCTGAAGGCGTTCGGACAGATGGCACAGCCGGGCAGGCTCTGCAGGAATGCGAGGGCCGCCTTGGGGGTGTTTTGTTATCGATCCAGCTTGCCCCCCCCGCCCCCCACCGCGTTCTGCAGGAACCAGCAGTCCCTAGGACTTCAAGGAGGGCAAATTCGGGGCTGGGGTGGGCGGCTTTGGAAGCGGAGAGACCCCCACTTTCCGCCACTGGGAAGTCAGAGCCCTGCGCTGCAACTCCAGTGCGTGCGTGCGCGCGCAGGGGCGGGAGCCTGGCACCGACAAAGCTAAAAATACTCGATAAAAATGCTAATCCCGAAGGCGAAGAAAGAACGAG